AAACTTGCGTTGATAAAAATGGCAATGACGATAGCACAACTGCATGCAAGGAAATAAAACAATATAACAAGGAAATGATGCAAATGCAAACAGAAATGTGTTTTTACACAGGTATAATCTTTAGATTTGACAAATTTTTATGGTTTCTTGTTCATAGCACTAAAAATAATATGCAACAATAATAGGTAGAAGTTATGCAGCCAATCTAGTTTCAGTTATTAGTAATTGTTCTACAGTGAAAAACTCTTTCCAAAAAACACTTATTCTGGTCTTTCACCAAGTATTATGATTCTAAAGTCTTTAAAAATTTGCATTTTTTTAGTCCACTCGCATCGTTGTTATTTATAGTTTTTTTATTATTTTTTTAGATGTTTATCCAAAGCCATATTTGATTATTACGAGCTTTGATAAAGTATACTCTGTTGATTCTATTACTGGAGATATTCATGTCAGCACTATTAATGGATCCAGTAAGAATAAATTTGACCATGCATCAAGATATAATGACATAGAAATTGATGCAGTTGCGAATGTACTTTACTACATTGATGACAAAGACATCAAACGGGGAAATTTTGACTTAACTAGAAACGAAATTTTTGCGAAAAACGTTATTGTTCATGATATTACAGTTGACTGGATTGGTCGTCGTATCTTTTACATTGACTCCACGAACATTATCTACCAGATGCGTTTGAAAAAGAACATTACAAGTTTTATGAGGCTTCAACCAGGCTTACGATTTTCCAGTATTGCATTTGACTCAAAACATGGGTAAGACGATATTGAAATTCTTTTTATTGACTTGTAAACTTAAAATTAAGACACTATGTGAATCTATTGGAGGGTTTTCTTAAGTAAGCTAAGAGTTTTTATTATCATAGACGCATTTTAATTTAATAGAAAAGTTGAATTTTTGAAGTCCGTATTATTGCCTGTTATTTGGAAGTACAAGAATAGAAAAAAAATATTGATTTTTGAGGGAAAACAAAACTCGCTTTCACCCGAGGGAGCGAATATTAAGTATTTTTTTGTGTATAAAGAAACAAACGTCATATATTTAGACAGCTTTTCAATAAAATCAACGAGATTTGGCCAGCAATATTTTATTGCGTGACTATGAGGCATTTGAAACCAACTGCAAGGATGAGCTCATTCGTGTGATTATTCAGCACACACGCAGCAGAAAATAACATGCAGGTCCTGAAATTACAAAAATCGACAGCGATACTTATGTTAAGCAACCAAAGAGCTTTGACAAAAATGTAACAACGGAGAAAACAATATTTATAATTGATGAAGTCGTTAAATGAAATATAACAGAGAGATAGAAACTACAATAAAGTATTAAATAAATACTTTACCGATGAAACTTTAGTCAAATACTCACACAACATTGGTTTGCCACAACCTAGAAACAAAAAGTATTCCAATTTCACTGTGCAACTTAGTGTTCTACATTTATTAAGATTACTGGCTTCGGATGGCCACCTAAGAGAGCTTTTCTTTGTCAGAAAATGCAATTTGCTTGACGCCTCCATGGTAATCATATGCTTAATAAGATATGCCCTACACAAAAGATTTCAACAGATTGGGAGCATTGTTTGTTCCTTTGCTTTGCCCTTTCATATACTATAACCCTTTTTGAGACAGTTTAAGAGATGTGCAACAATCTCAATACGAAATAGCAATAAGGTTTTAAAAAATTCACAAAGCTGGTGAACGTCAAAAACTTCAACCTTTCGTTTTTTATTGAAGATAAAAAGAAACTGCGCACATTCCCACGTAGTTACATCAAAAATATAAAAATGAATTTTAGTTTTCAAAAAATGTGGCAATTTAGAAAAAAATCAGTATATCAAGTTTATAGTTTTTCAAGCCTTCTTTTAACTTGCATTGAATGGCGGAGTATATTGAAAAGTCAAGAGCTGCAAATTAACTTTATGCACACTACTCTTTAATAAATCCAATCACACATCCGATCAAATCACCGGAATGGAAAATCGTTCCACTACCTTTAGTTCATGCAGTGTTTCTTAGTGTAATTTAAGCAAACGTTAGATCTGTAGTTGCTCAACTGATGATGAATCTGAAGATAATAATCATGTTAGAGATTAAAAAGAAATTGGCTGAAAAGCCTGTGAAGTGAGAACTTTCTGAATATGTTATAAGTAATTTACGAATTTAAAAAAATTTCCTTTTCTACCGATTCCTATGAACTCTCCATTCATGTGAGCCTTCTAATTAATAAATACAAGTCTTCACTCATCGTTCAGGAAAGTTCCATTGCACTTAACCTCTATTAGCTTAAGTATATTTTACTTCCCAGCTTCTTTATCAAATATTCCATTTGACACCGCCTCTTAAGTCGTAATTTAACACCTTTTGTAAATACAATATCTTGTCTTAACATCTCATTATAAATTATAATTTGACTGAATATGTCTTGAGTAAGGACGTAACGTCGGTATAAATTCCATTTTACAACATTTTGTCTAATTCTATGGCTCTATTTAAAACTTTATGTTGGGCATTAATTTTTATCATATTACAAGAAAAAAATAATTTTCACGAACACAAAAACCAAAAGAACGGTAGTATATGCGAGAAAGTTTTTATAGACTTCGGGGCAAGGTGAAATGAACGACAAGAAGACATGGACTTTACTGTTACTCAAATGAGTAATATAATTAAGAAATGTATAAAGAATGCAAATATGCTGCGATGATAATCAAAACTGCCAGTTGTATCAAGCATTTTCGACAAAGTAAAGGCCATAGTGTTCAAGCAGTTTTTGCAGCTTGTCTAATCAAGAGAATCCTAAAAACACGAACATGACATGGCGATAGAATAATCATTTTCAAATGATACCAATAGTGCTAGCTCCAGTGTCAAGCTTTTTCTGATTTTTCGGAAAAAAAACGAAAAAAGTTGACAATTAAAAAGAGAAGGTTAAGATAGTTGTAAAAAATCATTTGTCCAAACAAACTGAAAAAATGTATCAACAAAAGACATTGTTTGTGAAGCTATAGCTCTTTTAAAGACATTTGTAGACGATGATCCATCCAAGGAGCTGCTACTTTTCATGCAAGATGAAACTGAAAAATTAAAAAAGCTTAAACTTGAAATGACAAAGCTTTCTTAATTTATATCTACATTAAATGGTGCATATCATTTACCAACACGAAATTTTCAATTCGAACAAAATTTCCACGCATCAGTTAGTTTTCAGAATTATCAATTAACAACACAATTCACTCAGCAACCACTCCAAACTACAGCATTACTCATTCCGACAATAATCACAAACAATACCACTCATTATAGAAGTTATGTGAATAAAAATAACATAGTACATTTATTATGCTCTGAATCACATACAATGTTTAATTACTTCATATATTTTAGTTCGGTTTTTAAAAGAGAGATTTCAAATGATAAATATGATCTTTTCCTGTTAGTTATAATAGCTTTATGTTGCTATATTATCAAATTTCATGAATATGTTCCATTAAACCGTCTATATATGAAGGTAGTTCTGAATACTTTAACAACATCTTTGTCTAAATTAAAAAAAATTTCTTTCCTTTCTCGCATATATTAGCCTGTTTATTGTTTATGTATTTCAGTACGTATAGAGAAAACTAATGTACAAAACAAATATTTTTATTAAGGTATCTATTCTTGGCAGAAAGTACAGAACGTTTCTTATGGTTATGGAACAAGACTGCAAATAAACATGATATTTTTTCAGTTTCACTTCAGTCAATAGCACATGATCTAACGCTTGACATGGCTAAAGAGAAGATTTATTGGCGAGTTTTAAACGGAAATTTTTATCTTGTGATTACTACTCCCATAATGTAATTGATTTTGGAACTTCAGGAGGTCCCATGGCTGTATTTGGGGATTTCATTTATATCATAACTAGTGTTGGACGAAGTGTCGTTAGTGTCCATAACACAACAGATCAACGTACGAGACGTAAACTTTTTCTTCCTGTAAACAACGGTTATCTTGATTTGGCTGTAGCTATAAACAGTATCAATCCTGACTCAAACGGTAGTTAAATATTTACTTATTTGACATGATAATCTAAGACTTGCAAAAACTTCCACGCTAATGTTCATAAAATAGAAAGACGTTAAAAAGTTCAAAGTTACATTGCCTTAGTAAACGCTTGTTCTTCCTTCCAAAATTATAAAAAATTTGATAAACATTAAGTTCAAAGTGCAAAGTGTCTAATTTAGACGTTTTTGCCGTTTGTCTATTCTTGTCAAACTTCTTGGGTGTTAAATTTAACTCTTTATTGTTTCTTGCATCATTTCAACAATCACTTTGGCTTGTAATCAGTCTTAAATAAGAAAAAAATTCATGAAAATAAATTGAAAGACAAAAACGTCCAATTTGAGCATGTTGTGCAGTGAGCTTAGTATTTATCAAATTTTCTAAAATTTTAGTACATTGCAAAAACGAGTTCAAACTTTTACATTTTTTACAAACTTTTACATTAAACTAGATTTGAAACTTTTTATTTTCTTTGTGCATGCAGTTCAATTACGAGGTATTCTCATGGTTTTCGAGATTAATTTTTAATTCATTTTACTTTTAAATAAACAAGACAAGGCAATGACAAAATACATGAGCTTTGACACATTTTGTGAGAACTATTGATGAATTGATAATTTTCTGAACATTTTTCAATTATCTAACTTCTTTAGATACATACTTTATAGTGTCCTAAACAGCCAGAAAATTTGTTCATACTCTGTAAATTTTCAACATTTATTTAATTGTTTTGTTTTTACGATATTCGCGAACACCAAAGACACCAACATTACATAGAAAACTTGCTAGCTGGTTACGTCATAGTGGATACTGGGTGACAAATTGTGCTCTTTGAGGAAGAACATGTTTCGTTTAAAATCCATAGTTGACTTTATTTTTAATTTTATTAATCTATATAGCGACAAACACTTTTCGTTTTCCTTCATGTGGACCAAACACATACTATCGTAAAATTAATGGAACATTGAACTGCAAGTGTATGGAAGGATACTCAGGAGAATGTAACTCGTGCCAAGGTATGGATTTATTACTGTCTTTATCAAGATATTTTTATCATGAGTAAAGAGCATCTCTGTGCAGTTTTAAAACTTTGTTTTCTGTTGAGAAATCTGAAGAGTTCTCTGTGCAGTTGCTATTGTGCAAAGAATTTGCGACATGTACATTTTACAAGTAACCACAAAAATAAGGCTCACAACCACACATACAAGTTCATCATTATCAATACAATCAAGCAGGAAATCAGTAATAAATTTATGAAAAGCATCAATACACTTAACACTCTCTCAGCACACTAAATTGGAAGTATGTGGTTCTCTAAATGATAATAGCATATATTAAATGTTTGTAAAAGTAGATCATCCAGGTTGGTATAGTCCTGAGAAGGACTGTTGTTGTTGTTGTTGGCTGACGTTTCAACAATCTTAGCGGTAGTCATCTTCAGAGTCAATTTGACTGGACGATCTACATTTACAAACATGTAACAATAATCCGGGCTCAAACCATTTACTTTAGCATATGTTAACATTAACACATTTTGATTTTCTCTACATTAGGTAGGGGGTAGCTTTAGGGTTAGGGTTACGGTTAACACTCCTCCTGCAGTTAGCAATCTAGCTATGGCCCTGCTAACATAGATACACTATATTAAAAAGTTTTGACTTTATTCTGGGTTGGCTTTCTTGAACTAGGAATTCTGTAAATCCAAACTATAAAAAGCATTTTGACGAGCAAGTTTCCAGATCTCCTAGAATGAGGAGGTCTGAAACATAAAATTTCTGAAACCAATTAGGTTGTAGCTTTATGAACTTATTCCAAGAATTGACAAGTATGGGTAGTGTCCGATTAATCAGTAGGCTATGTAGGCTGAAGCTAACAGGCCGGCATTTTAAAGAATCATCTTCTATTTTAACATAGTTTTTACTCTTTGGCATTCTGGATGAGCTAAATGGTCAAAATTTTAATCATATATGATTTGTTAGACTTGCTCTTATTGTTTAAACCATTGAAAAACTTTTGAAATAAAAACATCCGAAATCATCGCAAAATGGTGCAACAGACTACAATGTTGAGTTTGCAAAGATCGTGTACTTGCGTATCATTTTACTTAAAGATAGTAGTTAAATAATAAGCAGATGGCTGGTTGATCACTCTAAGACACTTACGGCCGTAATATTAATTTAGACAAGCTATATACAGCAATATATGTCCTTTATCTAAGTCTCGTATTTTCTTTATGATGATTAAAAAGATACTGCTTAAAGTATTTTTGCCAAGAAAAAACCTTTAACTGGTATCCTCTAGCCTCCAATGAGCTAACCGATTTTTAGAAAGCTGCAAAAGTCACTTAAATTTTTCCTTTTTCGATAAACGTAGATCGTATGTCACTTTTTGTAGAACTTAATATTTTTGTGAACTTTGCAAATGAGAATAAAGATGCATCTAAGATAATCCATGACGCAGGGAACATTCTCTTCAAACTTTTAAAATAAGAAATTCAAACTTTTACATGCAGAGCTACAAACATCTGCATATTCACTCTCAGTGTGAAAGATATTGAAAAGTTATATATTCAATAAAGATTGTCAATTATTTGCAGCTAAAGGTGAAATGTTAATGGCTTAAAGACAAAAAATTGTCTTATAGCCAAAAATAGTTTAACATATTCAACTAATATTAAAGTGGTACCAAATTTGGCTAATCTGAAAAATTGCAAGTATATCTTGGTTCATACTTAAAGATGTCAACTCAATAAAGAACTAAAATGTAGGGAGTGGTCACTTTAATACCAAAAATAATCGAGAGTTATACTTGGTAATAGTCTTTGCCAGGGTAAATGTGTCAAAAATGAAACCTTAGATGAAGCTTCCTTAAACTTATATAAATTTAAAAGACCTGCCTTTAGGCAATAATTAAAATGCCACACCCTCTTGTCCATTCCAATTTACATAACTTTTTGTCGGTCACGCCCTTCTGCTGAACACATTAGGTCACAAAACATGAATATTCACATATATATAAAAACATAATCTTTTGTCGGCAGCGGACGGGATTGTTTAGCTTCATTAAAACAGCCCCCATAACGCGTAACTGAAAGAATCAAAGGCATTTCTTAATGATTCTAAAATTATCGTCTGAATAAGAATCAGCACAATGGGAGTTATTCAAGTGATGTTTACCTATCACGGAGTCACATGAAACTAAATTACTTTTCTTACAATCACGTTTTGTTTGTTGTCTTGAGGGGACCGTTCCATTTCTGATTGAAGTTGGTACATGCTGTTTGATCCTATCACCCAATCTTTGAGACGCTCTACCTACATTGCGAACATCACACTAAAATTTATATTCATAAATTTCAATGCCTAAAAGTTGTGGCGGTAGAGACTTTTTTTGGGTGGGTAGTAGAATAGTTGTTTTCGAAAATATAAAGATAACATTGATCGCAAAAAAACAAATTATCCATAATATTCTTAGTTTTCCTTTCAATATCATCAGAAACCTTATCCATCCATGGAAGTTTGATCAACACAGAGCACTTAGCTGGTACAAAATGCCTGTTCTGCTCAATTTTTTTGTGGATGAGAAAAGTTTATTAAGCATTTTTCCCCGATATCCATTTGAGAGAAACATCTTTTTCAATGAGTTGAGATTACCCTCAATAAACTCCTCCGATGACAGTCTAAGCGTTCAATTAGTTAAACACTTTACTAAAGAAATTTTCTCTCTGTGTGAAGAAAAACAGTCAAAGCGTGTGTACAAACCCGAAAAAGCTGCCTTGCGATGAATGCTTGTAAGGAATTGACCATTGCGCTTATGGACTAACTGACAATTTGATACATGTTCAAGCCTTTTGGAACAGCTAAGTGCCCTGTGTTTATCAAACTTCCATGGATAGGTAAGGCTATTAGCGTAAACGTATTATTGAAGTAATATGATACGGGAACTTTATATCTACAATGATGATACATGATTAGATAATTGATCATGGACTTTGGCACTAACACTTGTGTTTATATTAGGTTCTTTGTCTTGTTGACATCCTATCTCATTAGTATTCTTATTCTCTTCTATTGCACTGCACGTTGTATTTGGTTATGTTATATTAAAATGGTTACTTAAACATTTTAATTGTAATAAAGGCTTCTGATTATATTGAAAGGGAAACAAAGAATATTATTGATAATTTGTTTTTGGCGAGCAATGTTATCTTTATATTTTCGAAAAGAAATATCCTACCACCCACCACAAAAAAATCTCTAAAAAACATTTAAGCAATGTAATTTATGAATATAAATGTGAGTGTGATGCTCTCTATGTAGGTAGAGCGTCTCAAAGGTTAGGTGATAGGATCAAACAGCATGTACCAACTTCAATAAGAAATAGAACGTTCCCCTCAAGACTAAAACCAAAACGTGATTGTAAGAAAAGTAATTTAGTTTCATGTGACTCCGTGATAGATAAACATCACTTGAATAACTCCCTTTGTGCTGATTCTTATTCAGACGACAATTTTAGAATCATTAAAAAATGCCGTTGATTCTTTCAGTTACGCGTTATGGAAGCTGTTTTAATTAAACTAAACAATCCCGTCCTCTGCCGACAAAAAGATTATGTTTTTAAATTATCCTTGTTTTGAGCGTCATCTCCCCTTTTGGAGATGACGTACACTCTTTCTTGGTATTAAAGATATCGGTAGCAAATTTTCATTTAGCAGACGTTGACAACTGAGGATTATTCTGCCGAAATGCATCGTGTCGTTTAATTTAGAACTATTGGGTTAGTGCTATTTGCTTAAAACAGTTCTTTTAAGAACAATCAGCTTATCATATTGGGAGATTGATATGTACATGCAACCCTGAATATTTTGGATTTGAGATTTCTATAGATTGCAATATCTACATGCTTTCTTTTTTATCAGTTTTCAACCCTGTTAGACTTCGGGGACCAATAAGGTCTAGTGGCAGAGGTCGTGTGGAAGTATTTTACAATGGAGAATGGGGAACAATTTGTGATGATGGCTGGGATTTAAAAGATGCTGAAGTTGTTTGTCGACAACTTGGTTATGACTATGCTGTCAGGGCTTTCCAAGGAGGTTATGTTCCTTATGGCAGTGGAAGAATATGGTTAGATGATGTTCGTTGTGTAGGAAATGAAGATAATATTTCGAGTTGTTCACATAGTGGATGGGGATCTCATAATTGTAGACATGATGAAGATGCTGGTGTACAATGTTCAGGTTTGTATGTACATTATTTACCTATTTATACAAAGATAATAAACTAAATTATTTGGGGGATCCTCAATGATGAATTTAAACATTTAATATGATTTTATAATACTGAACTATATATTAACAAATGCCTAAAGAATAAACACAGCTTCCGACGTGAAGCTGTAGGCTGTAGCTTATGAAGCTCCGTTATTTTTTTTTTCATATTAAGAAGGAGCATCTCAAAAGTTACACTACTGTGTAACTTTATGTCTTCTAATGGCGTGCTGTCTATCTTAAAATTTAATTTTTAAATTCGTTTTTTTAATGACCGTTAAGGTTTATCAAAAGCCATGCCTAGAGAGCACCAGAAACGTAATTATGAATAATTAAAAACAGAATTATTTTAAAAATACGATAAAGATTCCCACGTTGTAAACGAAGGGTCTATGTGAACAATTTACAGTTTATTTTTTGCTTGTTTCAAAACGTTATGGGGCAGTGTTGCCATATGGCAATAAAATCAAATGATTGAATGGAAAACCAATGGGGAAAATTCGCAAGTTAAAGGATTAAGAAGTTACTTATATTACATAAAGAAATGAGGACTTGTTTAAATATAAAATTTTTTAGATTCATGAAAGTCAAATAGTGTCTTATTGTCCAACACGTGTTGATATTGTACTTATGTAACTTTTTTTATGAATTTTTGTTACTAATTTAAATCATTAATTTCGCCTAAGATGATTTTACAATGGCATCTAACATAAGAAGATACTTTATATGCATATATAAAAGTTAGAATATTTCGGAGTTGAGACTTCGGTGTTTTGCAATAACTCTTTATTTTATTTTTTTACCAGATTTCGTCTCTGTTAGACTTCGCGGACCAAAACGTTCTAGTGGCAGAGGTCGTGTGGAAGTATTTTACAATGGAGAATGGGGAACAATTTGTGATGATGGCTGGGATTTAAACGACGCTAAAGTTGTTTGTCGACAACTTGGTTATGACTATGCTGTCAGGGCTTTCCAAGGAGGCAATGTTCCTTATGGCAGTGGAAGAATATGGTTAGACGAAGTTCGTTGTGTAGGAAATGAAAATAGTTTTTCGAGTTGTTCACATAGAGGATGGGGATCAAATAATTGTAGACATAATGAAGATGCTGGTGTACATTGTTCAGGTTTGTATGTACATTATTTACCTATTTATACAAAGATAATAAACTAAATTATTTGGGGGATCCTCAATGATGAATTTAAACATTTAATATGATTTTATAATACTGAAATATATATTAACAAATGCCTAAAGAATAAACACAGCTTCCAACGTAAAATAACTAAATAAACACAACATGTTCAACAAGGACATAACTAAACATAACCTATTTTATGATTGCCTATAAAAAGATTAGATAATACCAGCGAAAAAAGGTAGCCCATTGACCAATTTTCCGTGGAGAAATGTGATAATCCTTATATTATCAGTTTTTGGTACAATTCTTTGCATTCATTATAGCTTTTTGAAGCTGTATGCTGTAGCTTATGAAACTCCATTAAAATGTTTTTCCATATTTAAAAGGAGCATCTCTAAATTTACACCAGGCGTAACTTTATGTCTGGTAAAGGCGTGCTGTCTATCTTAAAAAATTTATTTTTAAATTCGTTTTTTACTGACCGTTAAGGTTTAGCAAAAGCCATGCCTAGAGAGCACCAGAAACTTATTTCTGAATAATTAAGAAAACTGTTATTTTTAAAATTCGATAAAGATTCCCACGCTGTAAACGAAGAGTCTATGTGAGCAATTTACTGATTATTTTTTGCTTGTTTCAACACGTTAAGGGTAGTGTTGCCATATGGCAATAAAATCAAATGATTGAATGGAAAACCAATGGGGAAAATTCGCAAGTTAAAGGGTTAAGAAGTTATTTATATTACATAAAGAAATAAGGACTGGTCTAAATAAAATAGTTTTTCGACTCATGAAAATTAAATAGTGTCTAATTGTCCAACACGGGTTGATATTTTACGTATTTTATTTTTTTTATCAATTTTTGTTACTAATTTAAATATTTAATTTCGCTCAAGAGGATTTTACAATGGCATATAACATAACAGGATAATTTATATGTATACATGTAAGTTAGAATATTTTGGAGTTGAGACTTCTGTGTCTTGCAATAACTCTTAGTTTCTTTTTTTTTCAGATTTCTTCTCTGTTAGACTTTTAGGACCAAAAAATTCTAGTGGCACAGGTCGTGTGGAAGTATTTTACAATGGAGAATGGGGAACAATTTGTGATGATGGCTGGGATTTAAACGATACTAAAGTTGTTTGTCGACAACTTGGTTATGACTATGCTGTCAGGGCTTTACAAGGAGGTTATGTTCCTTATGGCAGTGGAAGAATATGGTTAGATGAAGTTCTTTGTGTAGGAAATGAAAATGAAATGTCGAGTTGTTCACATAGTGGATGGGGATCACATAATTGTACACATGATGAAGATGCTGGTGTACAATGTTCAGGTTTGTATGTACATTATTTACCTTTCAATACACAGGCAATAAACTGAATTATTTGGGGGATTCGCAATGATTAATTTAAACAATTAATATGATTTCATAATACTGTAACAGATATTGACAAATGCCTGAAGAATAAACACAGCTTCGGACGTAAAATAACTAAATAAACACAACTTGTTCAACGAGGACATAATTAAACATAACCTATTTTAAGATTGCCCATTAAAAGTATAGATAATACCAAGAAAAATGCAGCCAATTGACCAATTTTCCGTTGTGGAATGTGATAATCCTTATATTATCAATTTTGTTACAATTGTTTACATTCATTATACCTTTTTGAAGCTGTAGGCTGTAGCTTATGAAGCTCCGCTATTTTTTTTTTCATATTAAGAAGGAGCATCTCAAAAGTTACACTACTGTGTAACTTTATGTCTTCTAATGGCGTGCTGTCTATCTTAAAATTTAATTTTTAAATTCGTTTTTTTAATGACCGTTAAGGTTCATCAAAAGCCATGCCTAGAGAGCACCAGAAACGTAATTATGAATAATTAAAAACAGAATTATTTTAAAAATACGATAAAGATTCCCACGTTGTAAACGAAGGGTCTATGTGAACAATTTACAGTTTATTTTTTGCTTGTTTCAAAACGTTATGGGGCAGTGTTGCCATATGGCAATAAAATCAAATGATTGAATGGAAAACCAATGGGGAAAATTCGCAAGTTAAAGGATTAAGAAGTTACTTATATTACATAAAGAAATGAGGACTTGTTTAAATATAAAATTTTTTAGATTCATGAAAGTCAAATAGTGTCTTATTGTCCAACACGTGTTGATATTGTACTTATGTAACTTTTTTTATGAATTTTGTTACTAATTTAAATCATTAATTTCGCCTAAGATGATTTTACAATGGCATCTAACATAACAAGATACTTTATATGCATATAAAAGTTAGAATATTTCGGAGTTGAGACTTCGGTGTTTTGCAATAACTCTTTATTTTATTTTTTTACCAGATTTCGTCTCTGTTAGACTTCGCGGACCAAAACGTTCTAGTGGCAGAGGTCGTGTGGAAGTATTTTACAATGGAGAATGGGGAACAATTTGTGATGATGGCTGGGATTTAAACGACGCTAAAGTTGTTTGTCGACAACTTGGTTATGACTATGCTGTCAGGGCTTTACAAGGAGGTTATGTTCCTTATGGCAGTGGAAGAACATGGTTAGACGAAGTTGGTTGTGTAGGAAATGAAAATATTATTTCGAGTTGTTCACATAGTGGATGGGGATCACATAATTGTACACATGATGAAGATGCTGGTGTACAATGTTCAGGTTTGTTTCTACATTATATACCTTTCTATGCAAGATAATAAACTGAATTATTTGGGGGATCCTTAATGATGAATTTAAATAATTAATATGATTTTATAATACTGAAACAGATATTGACAAATGTCTGAAGAATAAACAGAGCTTCAGACTTCAAATAACGAAATAAACACAATTTTTTCCACGATGACATAATTGAACACAACTTTTTTAATTGCCCATTAAAAGATTAAATAATACCAAAGAAAAAGGGCAGCCCACTGACCAATATTCCGTGGAGGAATGTGATAATCTTTATATTATCAGTTTTGTTACAATTGTTTACATTCATTATAGCTTTTTGAAGCTGTAGGTTGTAGCTTATGAAAGTCCATTAAATAATTTTTGCATATTTAAAAGGAGCATCTCTAAATTTACACTACGGTGTAGCTTTATGTGTGGTAATGTCGTGCTGTCTTTCTTAAAATTCATTTTTAAATTCGTTTTTTCTGACCGTTAAGGCTTAGGAAAGCCATGCCTAGAGCGCATTAGAAACGTATTTCTGAATAATCAAAAAGACAGTTATTTTTAAAATACGATAAAGATTACCACGTTGTAAACGAATAGTCTATGTTAACAAGTTACTGTTTAGTTTTTGCTTGTTTCAACAAGTTATGGGGCAGTGTCGCCATATGGCAATAAAATCAAATGATTGAATGGAAAACCAATGGGAAAAATTCGCAAGTTAAAGGGTTAAGAATTTTTTTATATTATATAAAGAAATAAGGACTGGTCGAAATAAAAAGTTTTTTAGACTCATGAAAGTAAAATAGTGTCTAATTGTCCAAAATTTTTTAATATTGTACTTATGTAATTTTTTTTTATCAATTTTTTTTACTAATTTAAATCATTAACTTCGCCCAAGAAGATTTTACAATGATATGTATAATAACTTAGGATACTTCTGTGTTTTGCAATATCTATTTATTTTCTTTAGTTTTCAACTCTGTTAGACTTCGGGGACCAAAAATCTAGTGGCAGAGGTCGTGTGGAAGTATTTTACAATGGAGAATGGGGAACAATTTGTGATGATGGCTGGGATTTAAACGATGCTAAAGTTGTTTGTCGACAACTTGGTTATTAATGCTGTCAGGGCTTTACAGGAAAATGGAAGATGGTTAGATGAGTAGGAAATGAAAATAATATTTCAAGTTGTTCACATAGAGGATGGGGAAATTGTCAACATTATGAAGATGCTGGTGTACAATGTTCAGGTTTGTATGTACATTATTTACCTTTTTATAGAAAGATGATAACTGAATTATTTGGGGAATCCTCAATGATGAATTTAAACATTTAATATGATTTTATAATACATAAATAAATATTAACAAATGCCTAAAGAATTAACACAGCTTCCGACGTAAAATAACTAAATAAACACAACTTGTTCCATGAGGACATAAATAAACATAACCTATTTTATGATTGCCCATAAAAAGATTAGATAATACCAGCAAAAAAGGGCAGCCCATTAACAAAATTTTCCGTGGAGGAATGTGATAATCCTTATATTGTAAGTTTTCTTACGATTGTTTACATTCATTATAGCTTTTTGAAATCGTAGGCCGTAGCTTATGAAGCTCCATTAAAAGATTTTTTGCATATTTAAAAAGAGTATCTCCAAATTTTTACTACGGTGTAACTTTATGTCTTGTAATGGCGTGCTGTCTATCTTAAAAAGTGATTTTTAAAGTCGTTTTTTACTGACTGTTAAGGTTTAGCAAAAGCCATGCGTAGAGAGCACCAGAAACTTATTTCTAAATAATGAAAAAGACAGTTATTTTAAAAATATGATAAAGATTCCACGTTGTAAAGAAAGAGTCTATGTGAACAATTTAATGTCTACTTTTTGCTTGTTTCAACAAGTTATGGGGCAGTGTTGCCATATGGCAATAAAATCAAATGATTGAATAAAAAAACCAATGGGGAAAATTCGCAAGTTAAAGGGTTAAGAAGTTATTTATATTACAGAATTCAGTTCTGGTCTAAATAAAAAAAATTTAGACTCATTAAAGTCAAATAGTGTCTAATTGTCCAAAGTTTTTGATATTGTACTTAAGGAATTTTTTTAACAATTTTTTGTTACTAATTTAAATCATTAATTTCGCCCAAGAATATTTTACAATGGCAACTAAAATAACATGATACTTTATATGTATACATGTAACTTAGAAATGGATTTCAAAATAGCAAATACCATGATGAATGGTGATAATAACAATGTAATAGTTCTTAAAAGAACTGTTTTAACCAGAACACTAACCCAATAATTCAAATAACCGTTATTTACAGCTGGAAAGAGACACTATGCATTTCGGCAGACTACTCGTCAGGTGTCAACGTCTGCTAAATGAGAACCTCCAAATCATGCTATATTTATAATGCTACAAAAGGTCAATGTCATCCCTATTTTTAGAGATGACACTTAAAGCAGAGACAGATTAAACACGTAATCTGTAATTCTAGCCATGATTGACTCAGCTTAACATGAGCTAGCCAAACAACTGTCAGTGGTACTTTCGCCCGTTTTGGAGAGGTTTTCAACATACGCTTTAAAAGACTCTTTTACTTTTACTGATGAGCTTAAACAACAAAATTTTTCAATGTATTCTAATCTATGGATTTGTACTTTCGATGTAAGTAGTCTCTTCACTAATGTGCCCTTAGAAGAAACCATTGAAATTTGTGCTCAAAATATTTTTAACTCGGACATGACTTTGCCGGACATGCTTGAGAATGCCTTTAGAGAACTAATGATGGCTGCCACAAAGGGTGTGAAGTTTGGTTTTGATGACACCATGTATAAACAAATTGACGGGGGTGGCTATGGGTTCTCTACTTGGACCGGTTCTTGCAAATATTTCTGTTGGTATCATGAATGGAAAATGCTTGCATCTTCAGATTGTCCGGAGTATATATATAATATATTAATCCTAACACGGTTTTTAATATGCACATGAAAAACATGTGACTTGGACGAGATTTGAACTCGCGGATGTGCTGTATTATAAGCGTTATGTGGATGACACCTTTCCTTTGTTTCATAACGATAAAAATCGTGAATTTTTTCTTAATAAACTTTGCTCTCTTCACCCATCACTAAATTACACCTCTAAACTACAGTCGAATAATCAATTAGCTTTTTTAGATGTTCTTGTACACAAACGCAAATGTCAGTTTTTAAGAAGCATTCATCGCAAAGCAACCTTCACTGGTCTGTACACACGCTTTGACTCTTTCTCTTCGCATAGAGAAATGATTTCATTAATGAAGTGTTTGATAAAGCGAACGCATAGATTGTCCTCAAAAGAGTTTATTGATAATGATCTTATCTCACTAAAAAATATTTTTGTGTTAAATGGATATCCGGAAAGGTTGCTAGACAAACTTTTCTTATCCACTAAAAATGAACGGAAAACACTTTTCGAAACGGCCAAGTGCCCTGTTTTCCTTAAACTTCCCTGGATGGGTAAGGCCTCTAATGACATCGAGAAGGAAATTAAAAATATCACGGAGAATTTGTTTTTTGCATGCAATGTGGTCTTTATATTCTCAAAAAGAACTATTCTTCCACCCACTCCTAAAGAGTCTCTCCCTGCTCAATTATCAAGCAATGTACTCTACGAGTTTAAATGTGAGTGTGATGCTCGCTATGTAGGTAGGACTTCTCAAAGTTTGAGTGAAACAATAAAACAGCATGTACCAGATTCGGTCAGGAATAAAACTGTTCATTTACGACAACTACCAAAACGGGGGGGTTAAAAATGAAAATCCGATTCTTTGTGATTCAGCGATTGGAAAACATCTGTTAAGCTACACTCGCTGTGCCAATATTTATTCTGATGAAAAATTTAAAATTATTAAAAAATGTCGCTCGTTATTCCAGCTATGCGTCATGGAGTCGGAATTAATTAAATTGACTAATCTTGTCCTTTGCCGAAAAATGGATTACGTATTTAATCTTTCTCTGTTTTAAGTGTCATCTCTAAAAATCGGGATGATATTGACCTTCTGTAACATTATAAATATAGCATGATTTGGAGATTCTCATTTAGCAGTCGTTGACACCTGACGAGTAGTCTGCCGAAATGCTTAGTGTCGCTTTCTATCTGTAAATAACGGTTCCTTTAAATTGTTGTGTTAGTGTTCTGGTTAAAACATTTCTTTTAAGAACTATTACGTTGTTATTATCACCACTCACCATGGTATTTGTTATTTTGAAATCCATCTTTAAGTTTGTCACCACGACAAAGTCTCTGTTTCATTATGTAACTTAGAATATTTCGGAGTTGAGACTTCTGTGTTTTGCAATATCTATTTGTTTTCTTTTTTTATAAGATTTCAACTCGGTTAGACTTCGGGGACCAAAAAGTTCTAGTGGCAGAGGTCGTGTGGAAATATTTTACAAAGGAGAATGGGGAACAATTTGTGATGATGGCTGGGATTTAAACGATGCTAAAGTTGTTTGTCGACAACTTGGTTATGACAATGCTGTCAGCGCTTTCCAAGGAGGTCATGTTCCTTACGACAGTGGAAGAATATGGTTAGACGAAGTTCGTTGTGTAGGAAATGAAAATAATATTTCGAGTTGTTCACATAGTGCATGGGGCTCACAAAACTGTACACATGATGAAGATGCTGGTGTACAATGTTCAGGTTTGTATGTACCTTATTTACCTTTTATACAAAGATAATAAACTGAATTATTTAGGGATCCTCAATGATGAATTTATGACTGCTCATATAAGATTAGATAATACCAGAGAATAAGGGCAGACAATTGACCATATTTTCCGTGGAGGATTGTATTATCAGTCTTGTTACTATTGTTTACATTCACTATAACTTTTTGAAGCTGTAGGCTGTAGCTTATGAAGCTCCATTAAATATTTTTTTCATATTTAAAAGGAATATCTCTAAATTTACATTGCGGTGTAACATTAAGTCTTATAATGGCGTGCTGTCTATCTTAAAAATTCATTTCTAAATTCGGTTTTTATTGACCGTTAAGGTTTAGCAAAAGCCATGCCTAGAGAGCAATAGAAACGTATTTCTGAATAATTAAAAGACAGTTATTTTAAAAATACGATAAAGATTCCCATGTTGTAAACGAAGAGTCTATGTGAACAATTTACTGTTTAATTTTTACTTGTTTCAACAAGTTATGAGGCAGTGTTGCCATATGGCAATAAAATCAAATGAATGAATGGAAAACCAATGTGGAAAATTCACAAAATAAAGGGTTAAGAAGTTATTTATATTACATAAAGAAATAAGGACTGGTCTAAATAAAAAGTTAATTAGACTCATGAGAGTGAAATAATGTCTAATTGTCCAACGTTTTTCATATTGTAGTTATGTAATTTTTTTTTATCAATTTTTTTTTACCAATTTAAATCATTAACTTCGCCAAAGAAGATTATAAACTTGCATGCTTAATAACAGGATACTTAATATGTATACATGTAACTTAGAATATTTCGGAGTTGAGGTTTCTGTGTTTTGCACTATCTCTTTACTTTCTTTTTTCATCAGTTTTCAACTCTGTTAGACTTCGGGGACCAAAAAAATCTAGTGGCAGAGGTCGTGTGGAAGTATTTTACAATGGAGAATGGGGAACAATTTGTGATGATGGCTGGGATTTAAACGATGCTAAAGTTGTTTGTGGACAACTTGGTTATGACAATGCTGTCAGGGCTTTACTAGGAGGTAATGTTCCTTATGGCAGTGGAAGAATATGGTTAGATGATGTTTCTTGTGTAGGACATGAAAATATTATTTCGAGTTGTTCACATAGAGGATGGGGAACCCATAAGTGTCAACATTATGAAGATGCTGGTGTACAATGTTCAGGTTTGTATGTACATTATTTACCTTTTTATAGAAAGATGATAAACTGAATTATTTGGGGGATCCTCAATGATGAATTTAAACATTTGATATGAATTTATAATACTGAAGTATATATTGACAAATGCCTGAAGAATAAACACAGCTTCCAACGTAAATTAACTAAATAAACACAAATTGTTCCACGGGAAGATAATTTAACATAACCTATTTTATGATTGCCCATAAAAATATTAGATAATAGCAGAGAAAAAGGCAGCCCATTGACCATATTTTCCGTGGAGGAATGTAATAATCCTTATATTATCAGTTTTGTTACGATTATTTACATTCATTATAGCTTTTCGAAGCTGTAAGCTGTAGCTTATGAAGCTCCATTAAATATTTTTTTCATATTTAAAAGGAATATCTCTAAATTTACATTGCGGTGTAACATTAAGTCTTATAATGGCGTGCTGTCTATCTTAAAAATTCATTTCTAAATTCGGTTTTTACTAACCGTTAAGGTTTAGTAAAGGCCATGCCTAGAGAGCAATAGAAACGTATTTCTGAATAATTAAAAGACAGTTATTTTAAAAATACGATAAAGATTCCCATGTTGTAAACGAAGAGTCTATGTGAACAATTTACTGTTTAATTTTTACTTGTTTCAACAAGTTATGAGGCAGTGTTGCCATATGGCAATAAAATCAAATGAATGAATGGAAAACCAATGGGGAAAATTCGCAAGTTAAAGGGTTAAGAAATTATTTATATTACTTAAAGAAATAAGGAATGGTCTAAATAAAAAGTTTATTAGACTCATGAAAGTAAAATAGTGTCTAATTGTCCAAAAATTTTTGATATTGTACTTATGTAAACTTTTTTTATTAATTTTTTTTTACTAATTTAAATCATTAATTTCGTCCAAGAAGATTTTACAATGGCATATATTATAACAGAATACTTTATATGTATACATGTAACTTAGAATATTTCGAAGTCAATGCTTCTGTGTTTTGCAATATCTCTTTATTTTTTTATCAGTTTTTAACTCTGTTAGACTTCGGGGACCAAAAATATCTAGTGGCATAGGTCGTGTGGAAGTATTTCACAATGGAGAATGGGGAACAATTTGTGATAATGGCTGGGATTTAAACGATGCTAAAGTTGTTTGTGGACAACTTGGTTATGACAAAGCTCTAAGGGCTTTAGTAGGAGGCAATGTTCCTTACGGCAATGGAAGAATATGGTTAAACAAAGTTCGTTGTGTAGGAAATGAAAATAGTTTTTCGAGTTGTTCACATAGAGGATGGGGAACCCATAATTGTCAACATTATGAAGATGCTGGTGTAGAATGTTCAGGTTTGTATGTATATTGTTTACCTTTTTATACAAAGATGATAACCTGAATTATTTGGGGGATCCTCAATGATGAGTTTAAACATTTAACATGATTTTATAATACTGAAACAGATATTGACAAATGTCTGAAGAATAAACACAGCTTCAGACTTAAAATTACTAAATAAAGACAATTTGTTCCACGATGACATAATTAAACACAACCTATTTTTTGATTGCCCATTAAAACATTAAATAATACCAACGAAAAAAGGCAGCCCACTGACCAATATTCCGTTGAGGGATGTGATAATCTTTATATTATCAGTTTTGTTACAATAATTTACATTCATTATAGCTTTTTTGAAGCTGTAGGCTGTAGCTTATGAAAGTCCATTAAATAAATTTTGCATATTTAAAAGGAGCATCTCTAAATTTGCACTGCAGTGTAAGTTTATGTCATGTAATAGCGTGCTGTCTTTCTTAAAAATTCATTTTTAAATTCGTTTTTTACTGACCGTTAAGGATTAGCAAAACCATGCTTAGAGAGCACCAGAAACCTATTTCTGAATAATGAAAAAGTCAGTTAATTTTAAAATACGATAAAGATTACCACGTTGAAACGAAGAGTCTATGTGAAGAATTTACTGTTTAGTTTTTGCTTGTTTCAACAAGTTATGGGGCAGTGTCGCCATATGGCAATAAAATCAAATGATTGAATGGAAAACCAATGGGAAAAATTCGCAAGTTAAAGGGTTAAGAATTTTTTTATATTATATAAAGAAATAAGGACTGGTCGAAATAAAAAGTTTTTTAGACTCATGAAAGTAAAATAGTGTCTAATTGTCAAAAATTTTTTAATATTGTACTTATGTAATTTTTTTTTTATCAATTTTTTTTACTAATTTAAATCATTAACTTCGCCCAAGAAGATTTTACAATTGCATGTATAATAACAGGATACTTAATATGTATACATGTAACTTAGAATAATTTGAAGTCGAGGCTCCTGTGTTTTGCAATATCTATTTATTTTCTTTTTTATTAGTTGTCAACTCTGTTAGACTTCGGGGACCAAAAAGTTCTAGTGGCAAAGGTCGTGTGGAAATATTTTACAATGGAGAATGGGGAACAATTTGTGATGATGGCTGGGATTTAAACGACGCTAAAGTTGTTTGTCGACAACTTGGTTATGACTATGCTGTCAGGGCTTTACAAGGAGGTTATGTTCCTTATGGCAGTGGAAGAATATGGTTAGACGAAGTTCGTTGTGTAGGAAATGAAAATATTATTTCGAGTTGTTCACATAGTGGATGGGGATCACATAATTGTACACATGATGAAGATGCTGGTGTACAATGTTCAGGTTTGTATGTACATTATTTACCTTCTTGTACAAAGATAATAAACTGAATTATTTAGGGGATCCTCAATGATGAATTTAAACATTTAATATGATTTTATAATACTGAAACAGATAATGAAAATTGCCTGAAGTGTAAACACAGCTTCGGACGTAAATTAACTACATAAACACAACTTGTTCCACGAGGATATACTTAAAAATAACCTATTTTATGACTGCCTATAAAAAGATTAGATAATACCATAGAGAAAGGGCAGCCCGTTGACCAAATTTTCCGTGGATGAATGCGATAATCCTTATATTATCAGTTTTGTTACGATTGTCTACATTCATTATAGCTTTTTGAAGCTGTAGGCGGTAGCTTATGAGGCTCTATTAATTTTTTTTGCATATTTAAAAGATTATCTGTATATTTACATTATTGTGTAACTTTAAGTCTTGTAATGGCGTGCTGTCTATCTTAAAAATTCATTTCTTAGCTCCTTTTTTATCGACCGTTAAGATTTAGCAAAAGCCATGCCTAGAAAGCATTAAAATCGTGTTTCTTAATAATTAAAAGACAGTTACTTTGAAAATACGATAAAGATTCCCTCGTTTTAAACGAAGAGTCTATGTGAACAATTTACTGCTTAGTTTTTGCTTGTTTCAACAAGTTATGGGGCAGTGTTGCAATATGGCAATAAAATGAAATGATTGAATGGAAAACCAATGGGGAAAATTCGCAAGTTAAAGGGTTAAGAATTTATTTTTATTATATAAAAAAATAAAGACTGGTCTAAATAAAAAGTTTTTTAGACTCATGAAAGTAAAATAGTGTCTAATTGTCCAAAACTTTTTGAAATTGTACTTATGTAAATTTTTTTTATCAATTTTTTTTACTAATTTAAATGATTAATTTTGTCAAAGAAGATTTTACAATTGCATCTATTATTAAAGGATACTTAATATAAATACGTGTAACTTAGATTAATTTGGAGTTAAGGCTTCTGTGTTTTGCAATATCTTTTTTTTTCCTTTTTTTTATCAGTTTTCAACTCTGTTAGACTTCGGGGACCAAAAAAATCTAATGGCAGAGGTCGTGTCGAAGTACTTTACAATGGAGAATGGGGAACAATTTGTGATGATGGTTGGGATTTAAACGATGCTAAAGTTGTTTGTGGACAACTTGGTTATGACAATGCTGTCTGGGCTTTACTAGGAGGTAGTGTTCCTTATGGCAGTGGAAGAATATGGTTAGACGAAGTTCGTTGTGTAGGAAATGAAAATAATATTTCGAGTTGTTCACATAGAGGATGGGGAACCCATAATTGTCAACATTATGAATATGCTGGTGTACAATGTTCAGGTTTGTTTGTACATACTTCGAAAATAATTCAACACAGATTCACCCCCCTATTTAAATAACTTCTTTGTCGGTCACGCTATACTGTTGAGCATGTTAGGTCACAAAACATGAATATTCGAACATATATGAATATTCACCCCCCCCCCCAAATCAATATTCTAGTTTTGGACCTGTGCGTAGACAACCTGCTTGTATTTAGTCTTGTTTTGTTGGTTTTTCTGAGTTGGTTTACTTAGAAAACAATAAATTTGAAAATGAACATTGTTTGATGAAACAATGAATAAGGCTTGTTTAAACATTTTTTTCAAATTCTACGGTAAGATGCAACATCTCTGAGCACCGCTGCTATGCATATCAAGATATTCATATCAATGACGATATGCTTGGATCAAATATGATTTGTTCCACTTCTTGTGAAAAATTTTTTCAAAGCATTTATTGCGGGTAAGCTGTCGAGCTTGTTTGGTATAAATAGTACGCTTTAATTTCCAATAGTTTTATTAGTCGATGCATTTTCGTTTGCAAAGTTAATCCAGCATCTTGAATTAACAAACTCACAATTTCCGACTGCTGCAACGACCGGATATAATAAATAATATTCCCTGGTTATGTGGTTATGTGACTTTTTCCAAAGGTAATCTCATTGCTTTCAATGGCTATGTTTTTTTTGGTATGTTTTTAATAATGAAAATAATTGAAAATAGCGTTAGCAAAAAATAGCATTCTTTTGCATTAGAATTGACTTAAGTTTGTTTAAAGTGAACATTTTATGTGACACCAACATAAAATTGGCATTCAATTAATTAGAATTCAATTTATAAGTAAAGACAGTGAAACGTTGTTCTGATTGGTCAATAGCAGTGTTTTCATTAGTCTGTGCAAAACAGATCTGAGTTTAACCAATCAAATCAATTAAATTGCAAATCGATTATAAATGCATTTTAGGGGTAAAGTTAAAACGTCGGTTTTTAATTTGTCTATTTCACTTTATTGTTGCTTTATAAAAGAAATAAATGATTTTTTCGTTTTTGCACTGGCTTATGCACAGGGGCGAAACTAGTACCTTTTTAATGTGTGTGAGGGGGGGGGGGGGCGAATGAAATTGCCCTGCAAGGACCCAAGATGCACTGCAGATCATATGGAACAGTACTTTTTAAATATTAAAATATTGGGTTTATTGAACAGATTTTCGCTATATATTTTTGTAATACATGTTGTATTCTTTTGGCAAAACGCACTTTAGCCTATTATTAAATGTTTAATGGCATTTTTTGCATTTTTACAGTTGCCCAATTTTTTAAAATAACATTTAAGTCGACATTGTCCATAAGATCTTTTTCACATGCAAGAACATTATGTCATTTAATCGCATGTCTTTCATTGGGGATCTCAGGTAGCTTTTGACTATCTAAAGCTTGCTGAAACACCTTTCATCTTTTGCTACGGACACTGGAGCGGTGAGCAATAGTTGATACGCCTTGCATACCGTTGGAAAGCATGAAGACAGGAAAATTTATTGGAAAAAGATTTACAATCTGAATGAAATTTCCGTCCTTGTCATCGCCGCCTCCTTTGAATGACAATGACTGCCTTGCCATAGTGTGAGCCACATCAAGAAGAATCAACATAATTCCCTTGTTCTTCTGTTCATCTGCTTTCTCTTGGATCAATATTTCCTTAATTTTCGCATTCATCATTACATCAGTATGGCCAGATGTTATTGAGAAATGAGCAAAATCAGCCAGAGCAGCTTGATGGGACTTGCTACTGAAGTGTTTATGAAGTTTCCCTTTCTTGTTTGCACCAACGCTCCTCACCTTCTTCCATGATCGTACACCATTTATCCATGCTGTATCAATTTTTTCTCGTCTTGGCCCACTTGGAAATAATGAGCATACAAAGCAATATGCTTTATTTTCCTTCTGACTGTACTCAAGATGAGGGAAAGAGTCGTAACAGCATGTATTACATTTGTTAGGTTAATTTTTGGCTTTTGTTTGATTTACAGGAAAAGACTTCAATCTAGGTTGACGGGGTCCTTTTTGCATGAGAAACTTTCTTTGATCGTCATTCATATCTCGTGGCCTTTCGCTTGGATCGTGAGAAGTAATTTTAGTGCTTTCCTCTAAAACTGGGCAACCAATTTCAATTTCATCTTCCTGCACTTTGTTGATGACAATAGAACAATTTTTTACCAGTTTCACAGACAAATCTTGTATTTTTTTTGCTATGTGCTTCACTTTTTCTGAAAAGCGCTTCGCGTTTACGTGTCTATCATTATCTATTATCACTTCATTAAGAATATTCTCACGCTGATGAAAAAGTTGTGATAGAACTCTTAACTGTCCTGCACAAGTGATCCATGTAATATCTTCTTGGTTATCTGAATCACAGTTTGATGACTTTTCAATTTGTGCAGCCTAAACGTATAAAGACATTGTAAAAAAGACACATGCAGTAAATAAAATACAAAAATCTTCTTTTAACAGATGAATAAATGACAATTGAAAGATTCGTATTAAAAAAAATTCGCATTTGAGCTATCTTAACGTCTACCTCTTCATTTGAACTATCAGCACTCAGCAAACAACTATTTTCTACTGCTCCAAATCCCACGTGACTGTTAACAGCAGTGTCGTCGTCAACAAATAATGGCTCTTCAATAGCCTCACAAAGTTCCTGTATACATTGCTTTTATTATCAAGTTCCATGTATACTACTTCTTGCACACAGGAAGAAAGATGATGCATTAATTTTTGTAGTGTATTGTATTCTTCTTTTACTTTTCATTGCAAAAAATGACGTGCTTCATCTTTCTATTGCTACCAAGGAACAATACTATGATTATGACAATGGATGAAACTGTTTTGATTTCATTTTGGGGAGACTTGGCAAACAAAAGTAGTATTTACGGACAAAATTTAAAATTGGCCAAAATTTTCAAATTTTTTTCCCGTTCACATCATGAGTAGGGTTTTCCTATATTCCTTCATATAGACTAAAAGCAGGAAATTGCTTTTCTGAGGGTTAAATTTTATAAAATTTTATAGACTCTGATGAAAGATCCTAGTGATGGGGAATCATATCAAAGAAATACACTAAAATCCTAATTCTAATCGAAGATGCTTTTTGTGTAATATGTCGTGGAATATTTGAAAGCTTATGTAGAAAATGCTGTGTGTTTGACATTTTTATCCATTGTTGAAATGTATCTGTAATACAAAACAACGTGTAAACAAGTTGTAATCAACAATATTATCATATAAAGTAAATGTAGATATTATCATAATCTATAAAAAAAAGTAAAATGATGAAGTTTCACTTCTGCTAAGAATAAAATATTATTAACAAATCAAATGATTTACTGAATTACATTATCTTTGATAATTTACAAATCAAGCCGTAAGAATTTCTTTTAAAGTTACATTAAGTAATTGCGTGGATTCTACAAGACAATGCTGGTGATTGCTACCTACCATGCCGCTTGTACTGCCCACCAACCAGAGACTTGCAAACACATGCACTAAACATCTTTTATTTATTAATTTATGTATGAATTAGTTCATTTTTAAATAACATTCTTGCTTTATTGGACAAAATATATACGAAGTGCTAAAACGTCAATGGTTTTCACAGAATCTGTTTACAATACATTACATTTATTATCCTAGATCAAAACATGAGACATTTTCATTTCATTTAACGACTTTTTTTTACCCTTTTTT